TTCAAGACCAGCCTGCCCAAGATGGTGAAACCCTGTCTCTACTAAAAATACAAAAATTAGCCAGGTGTGGTGGCAGACGTCTATAATCCCAGCTACTCGGGAGGGAGGCAGAGAATTGCTTGAACCTGGGAGACAGAGGTTGCAGTGAGCTGAGATCGCACCACTGCACTCCAGAATCACAGTGTTTGTCTTTTTGTGTCTGGTTTATCTCATTTAGCATAATGTTTTCAATGCTTATCCACATTATTCATTATTTTTAACCCACTTACTTCCTTATATTTAATTTCCTATAGATTGTGTACAAAAAAGGCTTCTTTGTTGTTAATTTTTTAAAATCCAATCTTGTAATCTCTTTTAATTGCTGTATTTAGATCACTTACATTAATGTCATTTAATGACAGGCATATGTTCTGAGAAATCCATCATTAAAAAGTGTTGGCCAGGCTCGGTGGCTCATGCCAGTAATCCCAGTACTTTGAGAGGCAGAGACAGGCAGATCACTAGAGGTCAGGAGTTCAAGACCAGCCTGGCCAACATGGTGAAACCCTGTCTCTACTAAAACCCTGTCTCTACTAAAAATACAAAAATTAGCTGGGCATCATGGCATATGCCTGTAATCCTGGCTACTCAGGAAGCTGAGGCAGGATTGAACCCGGGAGGTGGAGGTTGTATTGAGCGGAGATCATGCCATTGCACTCCAGTCTAGGCAATAAGAGCGAAAACTACATCTCAAAAAAAAAAAAAAAAAAAAAAAAATTCACCATTGTGTGAACATCATAGTGCAAGCGTACTTACACAAACCTACAGGATATAACCTACTCCGTGCGTTGGCTACATCATCACACACGCGACGTGTAGCTGACTGCAAGATCCTTATGTGGCACATGACTGTATTCAGGCTTGCCTTTTTGTTTGCTTCTCTCCTCTGCTGTTTGCTGATTCCCCTTTCCTGCCTGCTCTTGTTTTTTTTAGAAATGTTTTTAGTTTTGTTAAAAACATGATTCCTGGACTTTTTTCTATTTAATACTTTTGGACCATGGTGGACCACCAAGTAACTGAAACCACAAAAAGAAAATTACAGATCAAGGGGGACTACTGTATTAGCGATTTTAAAAATACATTTAAAGCCGGGCGCGGTGGCTCAAGCCTGTAATCCCAGCACTTTGGGAGGCCGAGGCGGGTGGATCACGAGGTCAAGAGATCGAGACCATCCTGGTCAACATGGTGAAACCCCGTCTCTACTAAAACTACAAAAAATTAGCTGGGCATGGTGGCGCGTGCCTGTAATCCCAGCGACTCAGGAGGCTGGGGCAGGAGAATTGCCTGAACCCGGGAGGCGGAGGTTGCGGTGAGCCGAGATCGCGCCATTGCACTCCAGCCTGGGTAACAAGAGCGAAACTCCGTCTCAAAAAAAAAAAAAAAAAAAAAAAAAATACATTTAAAATTTTTTTGTAGAGGTGTGGTCTCGCTATGTTGCCCAAGCTGCCCTCGAACTCCTGGGCTCAAGAGCCTCCCATCTCAGCCTCCCAAAGTGTTGGCATTGCAGGCATGAGCCACTGTGCCCAGCTTAAGAGTTTTTAATTGACAAATAATAATTGTACATGTTTATGGAGTACAGAATATTTTATCTTATCTACTTGTGTGTGGTTTTTGTTGTTTGAGACAGTTTCACTCTTGTTGTCCAGACTGGAGTGCAGTGGTATGATTTCAGCTCCCTGCAACCTCCGCCTCCCAGGTTCAAGTGATTCTCCTTCCTCAGCCTCCCAGGTAGCTGGGATTACAGGCATGTGCCACCATGCCTGGCTAAATTTTTTTTGTACTTTTAGTGGAGAAAGGGTTTCACCATGAAGGCCAGACTGGTCTCGAACTCCTGACCTCAGGTAATCCACCTGCCTCAGCCTCCCCAAGTGCGGGGATTAAAGGTGTAAGCCACCGTGCCCAGCCCATCTACCAGTGTTTTAACTTTTTGTACACATGTGGCTGCTTTAGATATTATAATATGCAGGCCTAACTCTATGCAATTTTACCTCTAAAAATGAACTGCTGGAATCTTAGGAACACAGAAGTTCCTCTATCCCCTCCCCTTTAAGTTACAGTTATGATATGTATTACATCTACATTACACATTGAAACCCCACCCGACAAAACCAGAAAGTCTATTCCAACAGCCATGTATATGTTAAAGAATTAAGAAAAGGAAAATATTTATTTACTGTGATACATAGCATTTTTTTATCTTCCTTTATTTTTGAATTGTGATGTTTCCTTCTGGAATACTATCATATTTTTCATCCCAAAGAACTTCCTTTAACAATTCTTTTACATTATGTCTGTTGGAAACAAATTTTCTTAGTTTTCTTTCCCCCTAAATATGACTTTATTTGACTGGGCATGGTGGCTCACACCTGTAATCCCAGCACTTTGGGAGGCCGAGGCAGGAAGGTCACCTGAGGTCAGAAGTTTGAGACCAGCCTGACCAACATGGTAAAACCTGGTATCCACTAAAAATACAAAAATTAGCCAGGCGTGGTGGTGCACGCCTGTAGTCCCAGCTACTCAGGACGCTGAGGCAGGAGAATCGCTTGAACCCAGGAGATGGAGGTTGCAGTGAGCCTAGATTGCGCCATTGCACTCCAGCCTGAGACACAGTGAAACCCCGTCTCAAAAACAAAAAGAATCCTGATCAGCATGTCACCTGGCAACTGGGTCCACACTTCACTAATGCAGGCTCCATGGGTCCAGCAGGAATCCTACGGGCCTCACCCACCACTCCCCTCCTCCCAGCAGCAAGCCTGGATGTGGTAACCGCTCAATAAACTTCGCCTGATCGTGAGGCTGATGAGAGAAAAGATGCAGAGATCGGGACAGGGAAGGCACCTGCCTCTAGAATTAGAACCGTGACTGGGCTGTGTCCTAAGGCCCTGCCCTCTCTGGCCTCTGTGCTAGAACAGGGGTCACCCTGGATTTGGGTTTGGCAAGGTGGAGGCAGGCAGAACATGGGGGAGTCAAACGTGACTCAGATGTGGTCTGAAAGGCCCCCAGAGCCTGCTCTCCCCTCAGCCCCATCCTTCAGGGGGAGCAGAGCAAGGCCCTGGGGGAGGGGCTGTTCCCCTCCAGGCTCTGTGGGCTCAGTGGTCTAATTCATCTGCACTGCCGGGGACCATGACAGGCAGGGCCACAAGCACCACCTCATTGCCCATCTCCCTGCTGTGTGTTCAGGGAAGCCTCAGGTGGACATGGGGTGGTTGGTGCCACGAACCTCTTGGGCCAGAACCACAAGCAGAAGACATGGAGTTGAGACCCTGAGAACTCCCCCCACAGAGTGTGGGCCACAGAATGTATCCCCTTAACACCAATCACCTCCTCTCAGGGGCACACAGGCAGCCCACAGCCCTCCCTCAGCACAGCCAGGCTCGCTGGAACTCACTGGAGACAGCCTGAGCCCCCAGCGTCACTGAGGCCAGATCTGACAGCTCTGCGTTGATGAGGACCAGGGGCTCCGAACCCCCCAGTGCCTATGTGGGCAGCACATTCCCGACTTCCTCCTGGGCCCTGTGAGCCACACCCAGGGGGCCAGCACAGATGCTGAGGTGGACACATCTCCTGCCCTAGGTCGGCCCCTGCCACCCCCACCCAATATCCTGGCTGCAGGTGAGAAGCCCCTGCCCAGTCCCCATCCTGTTACCTGCTCAGGCCCCTGGGTTCAGGGTCATCCCTGGTGTTGAGGGACGAGGGAGGGAATGAGATGGGGCAGTGGTCTAAGGAGCTCACCAGGAAAGGGAGACCCAGCAGGCCAGGCACTGTGGCTCACACCTGTAATCCTCCCACTCACTGCCTCTATAGGAAGAGCCCTGAAGATGAAGACCCCAGGGAGCGCATCCTTTCCTTCCCAAGCCCATAGGCTTCTCCACAGCAGAACTGCATCCTTCCCCTCCCCCTCCCTTCCCTCCAGGCTGCTGCATCTGGAACTCCACAGGACGTGAGCTGCACCCAGATGAGCCACCAGCTCTCAGACCAGAGGCAACTGCACTCTCTTCCTCCTGGGGAGCCCAGTGAGTCCGCTGCTCTGGCCATCCGCCAGGCAAGACCCAGACCCCACGCTCCAGAGACCAGTGACCCCAGAAGGTGCAGCAGCTGGCCCCATGAACGTCCAACAAGACCACCATCATTCCCCAAGCGGCAACTCGGAGAGAAGGGCTGACTACCTAGCTCAAGCAAGCTGCAATGGACTTAGACTTCTCCGCAGGGTTTACAGAACTCAGCTGCGTTCCAGAGCTGTCCCTGTATAGAAGCTGCCCTGACCTTCAAAGACTGAAGGCCTCCAGACAAGGACCCCATCCACTAGGGCCTGAGAGGGTTGCACAATTTCAAGTTTCTCACTTCCTCAGAAACCAAACCCATCCCGACACAGCTCATCAACAAGGCAGAGAAAACGGAAGCCTAACCTCCTGACCATGAGCCCACAGAAACACCACACGTGGGTAGGAGGAAGAGTTCCTCAACGACCCTCCCCACACTAACCCACTTCCCCTGCAAGTGAAGACAAAGCTGGGAACTTGCCCAGCATCACCCACATCACGAGCTCCGACACGAGCCCGCAGTTCTGTGAAGCGCCGCCCAGCCAAACAACCACTAACACAGTCTACCTTCTCCAGCAGCCAGGCCGGCCTCAGCTCCCATTCCACTTCTCTCCTGGGGTCAGGGTCAAAGGGCCGACAGCCAGGGCAGGCCCCACCTCCACTTGCTGCCTCCCCTGCCTGGAAATGACTCCCTTCTACACTATATGCAAATGCTGGCTTACTTGGAATTTCCTTCTGGTGCTGTTTTTCCCAAAATACTGTCTCTCATACTGTACTGAGGCCAGGGCCCACCATCTGGTAGGCATTCCCGGGCATCTCAACACCCAGAAGTGAGTGAGCTGCCCCCTGAGCTTCCTAGGGAAGGCAGCAAGGTCAGAGCGGGTTAAGAGTCAAGGAGGAGACACAAACACACCAATTATATAAAGCGCTAATCCTGTTTATTCAGCAGGAAAACTCGGCAATTCACGAACCCAATGGGGGACAGGTGGGCTTAATCCTCCTCCTCATCATCCCCAGCTCCAGCACCGCCCTGACCCTTCTTGGCATTCTTCCTCTTCACGCGGCCCGGGCGGCCACCCCCGTAGGGAGAGCGGAGGGAGAAGTCGATGTGCTTCTGGGAATCCAAGCGGACAATGAAGGACGGGATGTTCACCACCTGCTTTCGGACCCTGGAAGAGGGGACAGGAGTTAAGTGGACTGGGGAGAAACGGAGCAAGCCCAGCGGAGGTGCCTCTCCTCTCCACTCGGCCCGTGAGGCAGCCACGCTGCTGCTAGGGCTGCAGACATCCAGGCACTGCCGGAAGGCCGCTCCTGATCCTGTGGGCCTCATGTGAGTCCAGGGTCTTAGGGCATCACCTTCACCCCCAAAAATGCTTTAGATGAGTTTCTCAACCACATTTAGTAGGAGAAATTCCAAAGTATCCCACATAAGATCACAAAGCAAATGAGGTGGCCATTAAACATCCAGAGTGTGAAACACTCAACCCCACACGTGGCACTGAGCTTTACCATGCACAGCGGCAATGCCCACCATAACACAGCAACCCGAGGCTATGTCCACAATTAAGGCATCACACAGAAGGCTCTGCCCACGGCTCACAGAGTTAGTGAAGGGCTGAGGTGGAGATTCTAAATGTAAACATCTTGGCCTCTTCCTGCACAGCTCCTCCCTCTCAATGGTGCCACGTTACAGAAAGGGCACCCCGAGTACCCAGAATGCAATCACGGAATAGGGTCTGGAACTGACTTAAGAGGCGAGCCCAGGAGACAGCTGAACCCACCACCCACGCGAGGAGGCTGGTTCTCTCCCTCCACTGGGGAGGCCAAGAGCTGTTACCTGTCCAGCTGCCCACATGCCTGGCAGAGGCCTTCACAAGGTGTACGGCTAGAGCCGCAGTGACCCTTGCGCTGGGCTTTTGGGACGTGAGCTGTATGCTGTGTGCAAGGGTGAATCTGTACCCTCAGGGTGAGCTCACACCCATCACCTCCGAGGGCTGCAGGAGATAGGGACAGCAGGCTTAGTGAGGGCAACCATCAGAGGGCAGCATGGAGGAAGATCCCGACGCCGACAAGAGGTGGTACCTGATATGGCGCTGGCGGATCAGCACGCGAGCGTGGTGGATGGACTTGGCCAAGCCCAGCTTGAAGACCTGGGTCTGCAGGCGTCTCTCTAAGAAATCCTCAATCTTCAGGCCCAGGATGTAATCCAGCTTCATCTTGCCCTCATCCAGCACCCCAATACGGACCAGCCGCCGCAGCAGAGCATTGCCTGGGAAGAGTGGAAGGAAGCACTGATTCAGCTTCTGGGGTTCAAATCCTGGCTCCTCCTCTTAGGCTCCATTCGTGGTGGTGAGGCACAGCCGCATTAGCAAGCAGGGGTAAGTCTGATAAGACTCAATGCACCAGTCACTGTGACCCAGGTCATCGTCAAAACCATGCTTGTAATCCCAGCACTTTGAGGTCAGTAGTAGGCAACATGGCTAAACCCCATGTCTACTAAAAAGACAAATCATTAGCCAGGCTGTTGGCGCATGCCTGTAATCCCAGCTATTCAGGAGGCTGAGGCAGGAAAATCGCTTTAACCTGCAGGCAGAGGTTGCTGTGACTTGAGATGGAGCCACTGCACTCCAGCCTGGGTGACAGAGTGAAACCCTATCTCACACACACACAACCAGGCTATGGCTATCATCCATAGTAACCTGGCAGGAGACAGGAGGGCAAATGCACCTGAGAATAACATCCTTTGCTCCACATTCTTAGCAAGACTAAATAAGATTTCCTTACAAGGACTCAGTCTGCAAAAGACCAAGTGCAGCTGCGATTAAGCTCCCACTACCCTAACAAAGCAGTGGTTAGTTAAGAGTTCATATGCTGGGAATACAGGCACCCACCACCACATCCAGCTAATTTTTGTATTTTTAGTAGAGATGAGGTTTCACCATGTTGGCCAGGCTGGTCTTGAACTCTTAACCTCAGGTGATTCTCTCACCCGGCGTCCGTTGGTTATTAACTGGCAGCCAAACCTTAACAGCTATTCAATCTAACAGATGAGACTCAGAATCTTGCTAGTCATACATCTTAGCGGGAAATACTGGACCTGAATCAAGGCACGACTACACCAAAGAGCAAACATCAAAGCTGGCTAAGCTTCCTGTCCCTGGCTAGGCTAGATGGCTTCACTTACTAGAAAGTGTACCTAACTGAAGAGCTGTCTACCCCTTGGGATCTTTCACTTCTGCCTTGGAAAACCACAAATAACCCTCAGACACCTGCACCGCTTTCTCACATGACTAAGTTTCACTGCTCTTAGGCTCTGTATTAACAAAGTCCTCCCTAAAACCAGAACCAGCTATATAGCCCACTCATCACAGGACACTGGGATAAACTCCCATCCAATTATCAGCAACCTTGGTGGTGGCAACTCCAGCACTTTTATGAAATTGTCAAAGGGGCCTACAATCTAAGAAAAAGAATGAAAGGGTCTGGTGCAGTGGCTTACACCTGTAATCCCAGCACTTTGCAAGGCTGAGGCAGAAAGATCACTTGAGGCCAGGAGTTGGAAACCATCCTATCCTGGGCAACATTGCAAGATCCTGTCCCTTTTTTTTTTTTTTATAAAAAAAAAAAAAAAAAAAAAAGAAAGAAAAGTAAGCTTGTACCATCTGCAGGCCTGGGGCACTGTGATAATCTGTGGCTAAGCATGCTGCAGGGCTTTCTTGATGTCCAATATGGACGACCACTCTCACGCCTAACAGTCAGGGCTCAGGTGTAGACTCTGCTTTTCATCCTAAATCATGACTACCCAAGCTCAGGCAAATGCAGTGTCTCAGGATATACTAATGTCAATCTTGGTCGTGCCAATCTGCTGTAGATAGCACTCCAGCAACACCGCATCTCACAGCAGAAACTCGAGATCTTAAAACAAATGGTTAAGGTGACAAATTTTCATGTTAATGTCTATTTCACCACAATTAGTAAAGTAAGCCAAAGTCTATATGATCTGCATACCCTCCCAAAGTCATAACCTGAAATGCTGTTCCCTGAGACATTTAACAGATTCTCTCCTGTTCAGGCCTTTGCTAAATGCTACCTGAATGTCCTTCATCAGCTTAATAAAGCAAGCATCAGTCTGGCCAACATGGGGAAACCCAGTCTCTACTAAAAATACAAAATTAGCTCTGCATGGTGGCGCATGACTGTGATCCCAGCTACTTGAGACGCTGAGGCAGTAGTATTGCTTGAACTCGGGAGGCGCAGGTTGCAGTGCGCCGAGATCCTGCCATTGCACTCCAACCTGGGCAACAGAGTGAGACTGTCTCAAAAATAAGTTTTAAAAAAATAAGCAAGCAAATGTGAACTCTTACCACCATCACTCATTCCAAAAATTCGACTTCACAGTCTACTCTCACCACTAGCAAAGAGGCCACATGATCAGAATTGTTTTTGCGACATCCTATAAAGATATAGGCAGATGCCCAAGTGTGCCAGGCCTCTCTTTAGCTCTGGTCGTTACTAAACTGAAGGTCCAGGAACTGGGTAACAAAAGCCACACAGCTAAGAAACAGGGCAAAGACTGATCCAGCTCCACTTTTCCTACTCCCCAAGTCCCATTTAAACACCACGTTAAGCTGGGCGCAGTGGCTCACGCCTGTAATCCTAGCACTTTGGGAGGCCGAGGTGTGTGGATCGCCTGAGGTCAGGCGTTCAAGACCAGCCTGGCCATCATGGTGAAACCCCATCTTTAAAAAAATAAATAAAAACAAAAAAAAACGTCACCAAGTTAAAAGCCTGTCTCTGTTTGTCCAATGACACAACTCCCATCATTGGAACAGAGGAACTAGAAGGGACAATGAACCTCACAAGCCCTGCGGTCCATCTCTCTGCTGTGGGCTCCCATACGCACCTTCGAAAAGACGCCGTGGATCCTTCTCGTCAAGTGTCAGCAGCTCTCGGGCAGCCTTGCGGATCTTGGCCAGGGTAAATTTGACCCTCCAGACCTCACGTTTGTTCCGGAGCCCATACTCGCCTGCATATGGTGGGGAGAACCGGATGGACAAGTTTAGTATCGGAGATTAGTGCAAAAACTAGGCTGGCAATTTTGGATACACAAAAGCTTTCTAAACCACGAACAGTGCCAAATTTAGAGGGCAGACTAGATTGGGCACGTGGGCACCGTCATCCACGTGCTAACCGCCTCTCGGAAGGCTTGGTCACTCACCGATCAGCTTCAGCTCTTGGTCCAGACGAGATTTCTCGAAGGGTCTCCGCGGAGTCACATAAGTTTTGCGACAAACCCAGCTCCGGGCCACTGGCATGCTGGCTCCGCTTACCCGTCTGCGCCTGCGCGGAAAGAAAGTTGGAAAATGAAGGCTCTAGATGGCGCCAGCGCAGTTTCACGACTGTGCCAAAACCTCTCGGCGCCCAGATTGGATCTCGCGAGAATCACCTCAAAAGCTTTCATAATCAGTATCCGCCCCAACAACCGTGCCGCTTTTCCATTCAGCCACACTGCTCTGATCCCTAATGTCTTTAGCTTGCTCATGGAAGCTCGAAAGGCCCGCGCGAACATCCAACCCAAACCCTAGCCAGAAAGCACATCACGACACCTCACCTAACTACAGGACCCGGTCACTGGGAAAGAGACGCGCACGCGACACAGCTGCGCTCTTATAGTAACGCCGGCGCCTCGTGACCTTATCACGCACAACGCACGTCTGAGCCAATCAGAGGAGGCGTTGGCTGGCGGAGAAGCAGTCGAGATGTGAGTCTGGGCTAGAGCGGCGTGCCAAACTGGGACGACTAGCTTTCTTCCGGCTAAGGAGTGGAAACTTGAGCAGTGGGGAGAACCTTCGTTCTCCACCTCTGGTCTGTGGTTTTCTCTCTTTCTTTTTGAGACAGGGTCCCGCTCTGTCGCCCAAGCTGGAGTGCAGTCGCATGATCTCTGCTCACTGCAGCCCCGACCAACCTCTCGGGCTCGAGCGGTTGGCTCCTCACCTCCTCCGGAGTAGATGGGATTAAAGGTACACGCCACCACGCGCGGGTAACTTTTTTTTCCCCGTACAGTCGGCGTCTTGCTACGTTGCCCAGGCTGGTCTCGAACTCCTGGCCTCGAGAGGTCCTTCCGCCTTGGCCCCCCAAAGTGCTGAGATGACAGGCGTGTGCCACCGCGCCCAGCCGAGACTATTTCTATCGCTAACAATAATGTGGCATTCTGGAACGCTGTGTGGCACATACTAAGAATTTTAAATGTATTTACTCAATCCTCACTATATACTTGTGTTACGGAGCACTCTCAGAGAAGATGCCCCGCCCCTCCCACCAAACGGTACTATTATCAAATTCTCGCTTAAGAAATATTAATAGTAGTATCAGTAATTTATTTTTATTTATTTTTGAGATGGAGTTTCTCTCTTGTCACCCAGGTTGGAGTACAGCGGCGCGAGATCTCGGCTCACTGCAACCTCCGACTCCCTGGTTCAATCGATTTTCATGCCTCAGCCTCACGAGTAACTAGGACTGTGGGCGCCCACCACCATGCCAGGCTAATTTTTGTATTTTTAGTAGAAACGGGGTTTCGAACTCCTGGTCTCAAACTCCAGACCTCAAGTGATCCACCCGCCTCAGCCTCCCAAAGGGCAGGGATTACAGGCGTGAGTGATCACGCCCCGCCTGGAGTTCTCTTTTCATATATAGTCTGGTTATTGTCTTTGTATACCCGTCTCTCCACACTGGATGCGATGGTCTGTCTCCACTGTGTTCTTCAGTTCTGTACGCCGCTGCCTCGGCAGGCAGGCAGTATCTCCTCAGGAAGCGGTCCCACCCACCCCTTTCTCTTCCACGGCATCCACACCATCTCGATGTCTGGATTCAAATGTCACATCATCACTTGCTAGCTGCAGTGACTTCGACAAGTTTCCCAATCACTCTGTGCCTCAGTGTCCTCCGCTGTGAAACGGGGAATGACAGTGGTGCCTCCCTCATAAGCTTGCTTGTGAGGACTGAGTCTAAAGTGCTTAGGGGAGTGTCTGGCACAAAGAAAGCGCCCTTTGTTAGCTCCCATCGCCATTATTATCATCTGCATTGTACTTCCATATCTTAAAAACCACCTTGTTCTGTTTTATGCTTTTTTTTTAAAGGCAGGGTTTCACCATGTTCAGGCTCGTCTCGAATTCCTAGGCTCAAGTGATCCGCTTGCCTCAGCCTCCCCAAGTGCTGGGATTACAGGTGTGAGATTACACTTGGATTACACTGCGACCGGCCAAATTTTATGCATTTTTGTATCTTGAACACACTTACATTTTTCATCAGGAAGGGGAAAACACAGAAGGAAAAAAACTCTTCCATAAGTTTTCACTCCCTTCAGGATGGAGTCCAATCGCCACAAATTCCAGGTGCCTCATGACTAGAGATGGTTTTGTAATGGTGGTTAAGCCTGTAGGTTCTCAAGTCAAAAAACATGTTTGAACCTCAGCTGTCACTGACCAGCTCTTGATCTTAGGCAAATTAGCCTCTTCAAGAATGCTAAATGGGAGCAAGTAACAGGACTTTCCTCATAGGGTTTGATGATTTAAGAGTAAAAAAAAAAAAAAAGAGAACCAGACCAGAGCCCTGTATACTGAAGGTGCTTCATCCAGCTGACTCCTGTCCAATGAGGGGGCTGGGGACACTGGTCTCCAGCTCAGCTGAAAACCTCTATATGGGCCGGGCAAGGTGGCTCACACCTGTAATCTCAGCACTCTGTAGGAGGCCGAGGCACGCAGATCAAATGAGGTCAGGAGTTCCAGAACAGCCTGGCCAACACGGTAAGACCCCGTCTCTACTAAAAATACAAAAATTAGCCACGCATGGAGGCAGGCACCGGTAATCCCAGCTACTCAGGAGGCTGAGACAGGAGAATCTATTGAAACCACGAGGCAGAAGGTGCGGTGAGCCAAGATCATGCCACTGCACTCCAGCCTGGTTGACAGCAAGACTGGCTCAACAACGACAAAAAAGAAAATCTGCGTGTAACTTCTGACTTCCCCAAAACTTAACTACTGGGCCAGGAATGGTGGCTCACACCTGAAATCCCAGCACTTTGGGAAGCTGAGGTGGGCAGATCACTTAGAGACCAGCCTGGGCAACATGGCGAAACTGCGTCTCTACAGAAAACAGAAAAATTAGCTGGATGTGGTGGCATGAGCCCATAGTTCCAGCTACTTGGGAGGGTGAAGTGGGAGGACTGCTTGAGCCAAGGAGGTTGAGGCTGCAGTGAACCAAGATTATGCCACTGCACCCCAGCCCGGGTGGCAGAGCGAGACACTGTCTCAGAGCGAAAAAAACTACTCAGTGTCTGGAAGCCTTGCCAATAACATAGTCAATTAACACATATTTTGTACATTATATGTATTATATACTCTATTCTTATGATGAATTAAGCTAAAGAAAAGAAAATATTAAGAAAACTTTGAGAAAATAGATGAATCCATTTACTATTCATTAAGTGGAAGTGGATCATCATAAAGGTCTTCATCCTTGTCTTCATGCTGAGTAGGCGGAGGAGGAGGAGGGAGGGAGGGGTTGGTCTTGCTGTCTCAGGGTGGCAGAGGTGGAGGAGGTAAAAGGCAAAGCAGGAGAGGTAGGCATGCTGCGTGACCTTTACTTCTTTAAATCTGCAGTAAGTGGAGCTGAGCAGTTCAGACTCTTGTTGCTCAAGGGTCAGCTGATGAGACTGGGCCTCACCCTGATCCTCTTCAGAAGCATGGTCCAATCACATGGCACGGGCCTCTCTTCCACAAACCCCCTCATGCTTCCTCCCTTTCACTCAGCCTGGAGCCCTCTGGCCCTTCTGCTCTGAAAGGCACACAGGTAATATAAAAGGAACCCTTGGTTTCCATCATGGGTTGCCAGGGACCAGCTGGGCATGCTTGGGAAGCTGAATTCCTTTTTTTTTTTGTACAAGAGTAATAAAATCTAATTATGCCCCATCTGTAGGACGCAAAAGCATGTAGCTGTTTGCAAAAATGAGGCAAGCCTAGGCATATCAAAAAAGCAAGCTGCTGTGTATAGTATGCTACAATTTGCATTAATAAAAATAATTATGTATATTAAAAATATGCTTAGAAAGTAGTGTATTAGGAGAAATTATAATTTCCAAGTTGTCTCAGCCGGCCTTGATTTAAAAATGATAGTTTAAATCACTCATGGCCAGGCACAGTGGTTCACACCTGTAATCCCAGCACTTTAAGTCAGGAGATCGAGACCATACTGACCAACATTGTGAAACCCCATCTCTACTAAGATACAAAAAATTCGCTGAGCATCGTCGTGTGCACCTATAGTCCCATATACTTGGGAGGCTGAGACAGGGAAATCACTTGAACCTGGGAGGCGGAGTGAGCTGAGATCTTGCCACTGCACTCCAGCCTGGCGACAGAGAAAGACTCAGTCTCCAAAAAAAAAAAAAAAAAACAACCAACTCATTCATTTAGCAATAATATACTGACCACTTACTATGTGCTAGGAACTGTTCTTGGTCGTGGGGCTACTGCGTGAACAAGGGAAAATACAACAAAAACAAAAACCTTTCCTTAACTGGAAACGAATGCCAATCAACTTGTGAATGGATAAACAAAATGTGGTTGTGTCCACACAATGGAAGTTTCATCAGTAAAAAGGAACAAAGCTGGCCGGACGCGGTGGCTCAAGCCTGTAATCCCAGCACTTTGGGAGGCCAAGATGGACAGATGGCCTGAGCTCAGGAGTTTAAACCTGGGCAACAGGGTGAAACCCCATCTCTACTAAAATACAAAAAACTAGCCTGGCATGCAAGCGGGCACCTGTAATCCCAGGTACTTGGGAGGCTGAGGTGGGAGAATCGCTTGAATCTGGGAGGCAGAGGCTGCAGTGAGCTGAGACTGTGCTACTGCACTCCAGCCTGGGCAACAGAGCAAGACTCTATCTCAAAATAAATTAAAAAAAAAAAAAAAGATTGCTTATACTCATTAATGGAGATAGTAAAAAAATTAGGAAGAGGATGCTTGAAGTATGAAAATGCTGAAGTCTTACTTTAAAAAAAAAAAAAAAAAGGATGCATGTGGTCAGTTCATGAGGAATCTGCAAAGCGAGGCCTTTGGCTTTCACTCTGAGATGGAAAACTGCGAGTTTTAGACAAAAGCTGTGAAGTGGTCTGACTTATCTTTTAATACGATGATTCTGCCTGCTCTGTTGCAAACAGACAACAGGGGCAAGCATAAAAGGCAGGGGATGAGCTAGGAAGCTATCAAGATCAAATGAGCAACGGTTTGGTTTTTCTAAGATGCTGCCAGTGAAGGTGGAGGGCAGGAGCCAAACTTTGAACATGGTACCTACAGAATTTGTTGTGTGTGTGTGTGTGTGTGTGTTTCATTTAGAATTTTTATGTTACATTTATTGAAATAATTCTTTTAGACTTTAGATGTATAATTTGTTATATATCACTCTTATGCATGCATGCAATAAAAATAAATATATAAGCAAATTAATTGGTAAAAGTATTTCTAAAACTCCTTTATATTCAAAGTCCCATTCTTATTTTTATTGTTATATTTTTTTAATTTAAATTTTTTAAAAAATAGAGATGACTGGCTGGGCGCGGTGGCTCAAGCCTGTAATCCCAGCACTTTGGGAGGCCGAGGCGGGTGGATCACGAGGTCATGAGATCGAGACCATCCTGGTCAACATGGTGAAACCCCGTCTCTACCAAAAATACAAAAAATTACCTGGGCATGGTGGTGCGTGCCTGTAATTCCAGCTACTCA